TCTCCTCCTCCTCCTCCTCCGACTCTTTTCCACATTTCCCCCCCCTCTCTCTCTTCCTCTGTCTCCCTCTTTCTTCCTTCTCTCTCGGTCTGTCCCCCGAGCGAGACACATACGGCACGCGTGGCGCGGCGCGTCCGCACCGAGTGCGCGTGCGTGCGCGTGCGTGCACGTGCGGCCTGCTTAAGCTGTTTCGGAACACCACACTTTCTCATCAGCTGCCGAAAAGGGGACACGGGCGCAGCGTGTACGGGCACACTCACTCCACTTTCTTATTGTTCTTCCCGTTTTGATACAATTAGCGGGACTCTTTTCGTTTCGTTTTCCGTTTTCTCCTCCGTGACCTCCGCCGGGGTCGCGGCAGATTGTAACGGAGTCGCGAGAAGGATTGGGGAAAGGAGAGGGGTGGGGGGGGGGGGCGCCACGCTCATGTGTATATTCATTGTGACGAGGATGACCAGCGGGACCTTCGCGGTCCCGTCTATGGGAAGCGCTAAAAACGAAGCCATCTGCGAGTAAGATTGTATAAACTGTTATTTTCGTGGAAGACGCCCCGCCTTGCCCCTGAGGCCAAAAATCTTGCACGTATAATACATGAGGCCATACGACACAGGGTCAGCGAATTGGACAGGGCCATTCTAACGAGATAAATACGGATAAATAACTCTAGTATTGGTTGTTTTCGTTAGTAATAGTTTTAAAATGTATTATCTCATCTGTCAAAAAAAAAAAAAAATGAAAAAAAACAAACGCTGTCATTGCTAACAGGTAAGCTGATTCCGTGATAGTTGATCGCATGGACCCCTCCCCTGCAGGTGGACATTTAGCTATGAGAACAAATTGGCTGCCTAATTGGCGAAAAAAAGGGGCCAGAGCTAATTCGTTCGCGATGAACTCTGAATTTTGACAACGAAGAATATCGATTTTATCAAGTTTCGAGTCCCCGAGCAATAGATTAGTTTTTCTATCGCATAGCTAAATTGTCACGGAATCAGCTACACAGAGAAAATAGTTCCATTGAACTAACAGTAATCCCCTTATTCCAACGGAAATTTCCGTTCATATAGACATGCTAGAATTTTTCTTTAATTTGAAGGAGCGTTCTTTGTTTTAAAGGAAGATTCTTCACCCTATGGCCATTTTTCCTTTAAAGCATTGGAAAATCACACCAATTAAGAGAAATTCCAGCATAACATCAGACATAAAATCAACAGAACCGTTTCCTGGGTGTAGAAAGAGGCCTGGGAGAAAGAATCAAAAAGAGCGTCAGGGGGCACCCGGGTTTGAACCGGGGACCTCTCGATCTGCAGTCGAATGCTCTACCACTGAGCTATACCCCCGACGGGGGCGCTGACCTGCGGCGGCGCGTCTTCAGCCGGCTGCTCGTCGCGCGCCGCTCCTCTCCCACCCGCCTGTTGACCTTGGTCGTGGCGCGGCGCCGCTGTTTGTGCGGCGGGGCGTTGGGCGGGGCTGCGCGTGTGCGCAGGGAGGGGGCAGGGCGCCCGCGAAAGCGAAAGCCTCTCGGTGCAAACAGTCTTGTGCAGTCAATAAGAGTTTCAACGAAACGGCGTTAGATTTTCAGCGTCTGTTACGCTATTGATGGGGCTCATTGCTTAATCGCGTTAAGCACAAGCGCTTCAATCGTTCGATGCACGATGCTTAAAATACTTTAAGCACAATGCTAAAATATTTGAAGTACAATGCTTTAAAATATTCTTAAGCACAATGCTTAAAATATTCTTAAGCACAATGCTTA